TTGTTACTAATTTCTATTTTACTTCCCTTGTGATCTGACAGCATCCTTTGTAAAGAGCGTAGGGCCTAGGCTACTCTTGTCCACTTCCCCTCCTGTGGATGGCGCAAGGCACAGGGCAGCAGGGCAGCAGGGCAGCAGGGCAGCAGGGCAGTGGCCTGGGGTGAGGGATGGGGGGAGGCGCCAGCCCAGCTGGTCCCCACCTGGATGGAGGCCTCCATATCTCCTGCAGCAGTGCCTTCTCCTGCTGCAGTTCCTGGTTGGGCCGCTGCTACTAGACATTTGGCCTTAATTCTAAAATTAAGTACTTTTTGTCCAGCCAGAGTGGCTCAGTTGGTTGAGTGTCACCCTGTGTACTAAAAGGTTGCATGTTCGATCTTTTGTCAGGGCATGTATAGAAGGCAACCAACCAATTGATGTGATGTTTCTCACATCGATCTATCTCTTTTCCTTTCACTAAGTCCTAGGGCAGTGATGGCGAACCTATGACACGCGTGTCAGAGGTGACACGTGAACTCATTTTTTTGGTTGATTTTTCTTTGTTAAATGGCATTTAAATATATAAAATAAATATCAAAAATATAAGTCTTTGTTTTACTATGGTTGCAAATATCAAAAAATTTCTATATGTGACATGGCACCAGATTTAAGTTGGGTTTTTCAAAATGCTGACACGCAAGCTCAAAAGGTTCGCCATCACTGTCCTAGGGTGAGGATTCAAAAATAAATAAATAAATAAATAAATAAATAAATAAATAAATAAATAAATAAATACTTCTTTCTCTTGGCACTGGCACATTATTTGGGCCAGTCTCTTACAAAAGGACTTCTATGAGCTGTTGATTACAGAGCTATACCCATTGAGGAAAGCATACAGAGATTGGAGTAAATTATCAAAGTAAATTTTTAAAAATATTGTTTTATTGATTTCAGAGAGGAAGGGAGAGGAGAGAGAGATAGAAACATCAATGATAAGAGGGAACCATTGATCGGCTGCCTCCTGCATGCCCCATACTGGGGATCGAGCCTGCAACCTGGGCATGTGCCCTTGACTGGAATCAAACTTAGGACCCTTCAGTCTGCAGGCCGACGCTCTATCCACTGAGCCAAACCAGTTAGGGCCAAGGTAATTTTAATGACGGTCATTTGTTAGACATTTATTATTTATTTGCCATCACATTACATTTATTGTTTCAGTAAGTTCTCCCAACAACCCTATAAGTTGTAGGTATTCTTATTATACTTTTTTTTTTTATAGATAAGGAAACTTACCTGGTTTCCTTATCTGTAAGGAGAGGCCAGGGATGTTGCTTAAACATCCTACAATGCACAAGACCCACCCCACCCTGTAAACAATTATTGGCCCACAGTATCAACAGTGAAGGTTGAGAAACCTTGAGTCTAGCTTGTTTCATTCTGTTGTTACTGAGAAAACATTGTGGCCTCAGAAATCCCTCAGCAGTTTCTCAGGATTTGGTTTCTGAGGCTGTGTCCTATCTAATACTTGTAGCTCAGCCCATTGACTCATTCTGACACGTCCTATACCTTCACCTTATACTAAATGGTTGGGTTTTTTTTAGTAGGGTGGTACTTTTTCTTCCTGATATTTCCGAGAGAGAGGCGTGGTTGGCCAGCAGTTCTTGCAGAGAGAACCTGGTGACAATCTGTTGCTGGCATCTTTAGCTCCCTAATCTATGTTTACATGGCACCAAACACTGACTCTTCCTGGTGCCAGGCTTCTTTTCTTCTCAGCACTCTGGCACTGTTGGCAGGGAACACTTCCCCAGTCTCTTCACACATGTTTATTTTATTGCACAGCTGTTCTCCAGAAGATGTTTCTTGAGGCATGCACAGGGTGCTTCTAGAGCAGTGGATTGGAGCCTTAGTCATTCGTGTTCCCAGTTGCAGATCCACAGCACTCGTAAAGCATCTGGTATTTTCCATAACTGTTTTCCTGTTTGTAGTTCTCATCTTCTCCCTCATATTTTAAACCCCTAGAATATGGGGTTTGTTTCTTCCACTTATTTTCTACCTTCTTTTAGCAACTAGCATTTTGTTCATCATATACTGAGAAAATCAATTTATCTTCTTCCATTTAGGGTTATATGATTTTCTATGAGGAGTTGGAGGAAATGATAAGGAACTAAAGTAATTTGAGAGAGGCTAGTGGTCAAAGGAAGATGTCAGCCACCTAGATAAGAAGCCAGGGGAACAATTCAGAAGCTTCAGTGGAATGGAGCCTGAGTCAGAGTGCAACTGAATAATTCTGTCCTGGGAAGAGGTAGATCTTAGAATTTAAAAAATGGTTTTCATTATCAAGGAGGCCCATAAAAATAAGAAAGTTCCTATTAAGGCAGTCCCTTGGAATCTTAACCTCCTCATGACCCAGAAGTTTAGCAGAAGTTTCTGATTAGATGTGATTATATAAAATTTTCTGTAAAGGGTAAAAGGAAGGGCATAGTCCTAGCTGGGTAGCTAAGTTGGTTAGAGCATTGTCTCAATATGCCCAGGTTGCGGGTTCAGTCCCTGGTCAGGGCACATACAAGAAACAACCGGTGAATGTATAAATAAGTGGAACAACAAATTATTGTTTCTCTATCTCTTTTCCTTCCCCCTCCCTCTCTCTCTCAAATTAAAAATATAAAATAAAGGGAAGGGTATATATATATTTACTAATTTGAGTGGTGCCACAGGACACTCAATAGGGGTATCAGGTCAGTGGACTCATTGGCAGCATCCCCCAAATGCTGTCTTCCTCGGACCTTGGGGAGATCATGACCATTTGGGTCTCTGTCTTTGAATCTGTAAGATTTTAAAGAATATGTTGTTTGGGGGGTATTGTTTTCTCTAAAATGGTATTTGTCAACCTCTATTTCATTATTACCCTTCTGAGGAGCCCTTTTAGACATTTTTCCCCCCTAATCATCTCTACTGTCATGAAATTTTAATATCACGGATGTGCTGTGTATCTGTTTATCTACTGCAGAACATAGGAGGGGAACCAGCTATTGTACTAAGATTCCCCCCGCCCACCTCTATGAGCTAGTTTTCACCCCCATGAGGGTAGTATTGCCCATGTTGAGAATACATAATCTAGACATATCATCATCTTGAAAATGAGCTGTTACAGTATGTGTACTTTCTCTGCAGTTGAAACTGGGACAGAGGCACTATCAGTAAACGTAACATTGAAAAGTCTTCTCAGGCAGTGGCCTGCAGCAACTAGAGAAGAGTAGGAAGAGTACTTTTCTCATATTTTAGGGCTTGTTTTCTCTCTGAATAATCTTTTGACCACTTGAGTAAACAATTGGAATACACCAGGAGTAGCAGAGCAATGAAGGCAGTTCTCTAAAAGTTAAAAAATAAAAGATAAAAAGATGACAAAACCCTTTGTAGTGATATGCAGAAATAGGTATAAAATTGTTCACTATCTGGAGACTAGTAAGTTCTAACAAGCTCAGTTTCTCAAAGCAAGAGTTGATTTGCAGCAGAGAATACCATTTAGGTTGTCTAGCATGCAAGAATGTTCCCCCAGGAGGGTTTGGCTCTGTCTGATCGGAAGGGTGGTTGTGTACGAAATGCACCTTGGAAGGAGGAGGAGGAAATGACATGTTCATGTAAATGAAATACAACTGCAAATTAAAGTGTCACCCTGTTAAAAATCCATTTTTTATTTAATTGGTTTCCAAGGAAAAAATATCACACAGAAGCGTATATCTCAGGGAAAATTAAACTGTGAGATGTTACAAGTGAATCTGGATTCAGAGAAGTTCTTATGAGTTGGGTGGAAGTGTGGGTTATAAAATGTTGTCTCAACAAAAATATTTTGATGCTGAAAAAACTAGGCTTATAAATTTCTGCTGTGTTACATGCCAAGGGGCCAGAAGAAATTAACAAATATTACCTCGTTTGTTTTTTATAGTCTAGATCCAGTCAGCTGTATAGTGGCTGCCTGTTCCCTGGAGGAAGCCTTCTTTTAAGATGTTTTATTAGGAAGAAGGTCATATACTAAGGAGAAGCTTTCTCCTAAAGAGCGGTGCTTATTACAAAGACATCCAGGGACCAAAATGCTTTTCTCTGTTAATGGTGTCCTCTCATGCTTTCACTTTTTGTTTCACTTTATTATTTTTTTTTAAATCCGTACCTGAGGATATTTTTCCATTGATTTTTAGAGAGAGAGAGAGGGAAAGAGAGAAAAATATCGATGTGAGAGAAATACATCGATTGGTTGCCTCCTACACATGCCCAACCACACAGCTCCAGCCAGGGAGGAGCCTACAACCAAAGTATGTGCCCTTGACCAGAATCAAACCTGGGACCCTTTAGTCCACAGGCGGAAACTCTATCCACTGAGCCAAACCAGCTAGGGCTTGTTTCACATTTTTATGAAAATTCATGTCTCTTTGGATTGTGAGCTTACCAAACAAGATATATACAGTATCTGCAACATTGTTGGCACTAAGTAAATGTTAATTAATAATGGGAGGGAGCTACCCTGGCTGGTATGGATGGCTCAATTGGTTGAGTGTCCTCCTTTGTAGCAAAAGGTTGCCAGTTCAATTCCTGGTCAGGGCACATGCCTAGGTTGTGGGTTTGATCCCCAATTGGGTGGTTGTGGGAGGCAACCAATTGATGTTCACTTTCATCTCTCTCTCTCTCTCTCTCTCTCTCTCTCTCTCTCTCTCTCTCTCTCTCTCTCTCTCTCTTCCCTCCCTCTCTCCTTTCCTCTCTATCTAAAAAATCAACTTAAAAAACCATATTAAATAATTGGAGAAGGCTGATGAATGGAATTATATTTCCACGTAGAATTGTTCTTGAGAAAGATGTCTGGTTTCTCCTTGAATCGGGGGCTTGACAGATGGGACTTGCCAGCCTTCTTTAGCCCTAGTATGGTTCTTCCTCTTCCCTCTCTCATACTAATCCCAGTATTGATTTACTTATGATCTCAGTGGAAACATGTAGATAAACACTATAATGGACTCTCTTGTCTTCTCTCTCACCAGGGGCAGTGATTGGTGATGGACAGTCTGCTGTGGCCAGTAATATTGCCAATACCACCTACCGGCTCCAGTGGTGGGACTTCACTAAATTTGACCTCCCAGAAATCAGTAATGGTAAGCCAAGGTGGAACTTGGGATACTGATATGGATGGGGTATCTTACTGGTGAGCCATAACTCAGAAACTCACATAGCACTGGACTTTCCATCATCTCATTGAGAAGCAGATTATCATATGCCATTTCTGCAACTCTCAGTTAAGCAGTTCAGCAAACATATATAGAACAGTGAACAATGCTAAGTACAGTATGAGGAACCATGCTAAAGTGGATACAGAAATGAAGATGTCTGTGCCCTGAGAAGCTTACTTACAAGTAGTTCATTGTTCTAAGCCTAGAAGTTTAGGTGGGACTGAGAGAAAGAGAAGAAAGTGTAGGAACTGAGAGCTGATCTTGTGACCTTTGAGGAAAGATGTAGTGATATTAAACTCATTTATTAATCCAGATCTTAATGGAATGGAGTGTCATAATTGATATGTTTATATGTTTGCAAATATGTCTGTCTGACAATCCAGTTTCGTAGTCTCTATGGAAGTCTGCAATCCCGTGTCCCTGTTGTGTGGAGGGAACTACGATATTTCAGACATCACATTTCATTTGCTGTGTAATGAAGGATTCTCTCTGACACATTCCTGAGAAGTGGCAGTTCAGCCTCTACTTGAATACTTCTAATTTTTTTTACACATTCAGTATTATTTTGTACTAGAGGCCCAGAGCACGGAATTTGTGCATGGGTGTGTGTGTGTGTGTGTGTCCGTGTCCCTCAGTCCAGTCTGCACCCTCTCCAAACTGGGACATCCCTCTCACAATCTAGTACTGCTGGCTCCCAACCACTTGCCTGCCTGCCTGCCTTGTCTGATTGCCCCTAACCGCTTCTGCCTGCCAGCCTGATCACCTCCTAACCACTCCCCTGCCAGTCTGATCGACACCTAACTGCTCCCCTGCTGGCCTGATTGCCCCTAACTTCCCTCCCCTGCCAGCCTGGTTGCCCCTAACTGCTCTCCCCTGCAGGCCTGGTCACCCCTAACTGCTCTCCCCTCCTGGCCTGGTCCCCCCCAGCTGCCCTCCCCTGCAGGCCTGGTTGTCCCCAACTGCCCTCTCCTGCAGGCCTGGTCCCCCCTAACTGCTCTCCCCTGCTGGCCTGGTCGCCCCCAACTGCCTTCCCCTGCTGGCCATCTTATATCCACATGAGGGTGGCCATCTTTGACCACATGGGGGTGGCCTTGTATGTTGGAGTGATGGTCAATTTGCATATCACCTCTTTATTATATAGGAATAGAGGCCCGGTGCACAAAAATTTGTGCACTGGCGGGGGGGAAGTCCCTCAGCCTGGCCTGTGCCCTCTCGCAGTCTTGGACCCCTCGGGGGATGTCCACCTGCTGGCTTAGACCCGCTCCCTGGGGTGGACTGGGCCTAAGCTGGCAGTCAGACATCCCTCTGGCAGCCCGGGAGCCCTCGGGGGATTTCCACTTGCCAGCAGGGAGCAGGCCTAAGCTGCAGTCGGACATCCTTAGCGCTGCTGAGGAGTCAGGAGAGGCTCACACACACACACACACACACACACACATACACACACACACACACATACACATACATGCACACACACACAGCTGCTTTATCCACTCATCTATTGATGGACACTTGGGTTGCTTCCAGATCTTAGCTCTGAATATAGGGGGTGCATATATATTTTTTCTGGTTGGTATTTGGGGATTCATTCTTAGGATATATACCCAGAAGTGGAATCATTGGGTCATAAGGCAGGTTCATTTTTAATTTTTTGAGGAACCGCCATACTGTTTTCCATAGTGGCTGTACCAATCTGCATTTGTACCAACAGTGCACAAGGGTTTCCTTTTCTGCACATCCTGGCCAGCAGTTGTTATTTGTTGATTTATTGATGATCGCTGTTATAACAGGTGTGAGGTGTTATCTCATTATGGTTTCAATTTGCATTTTTCTGATGATTAGTGACATTGAATATCTTTTCATATGTCACCTGTATGTCCTCTTTAGAGAATTGTTGATTCAGGTCCTCTGCCCATTTTTTAATTGGATTGTTGGTTATTTTGGGTGTTGAGTTATATGAGTTCTTTATAAATGTTGAACATTAACCCCTTATTGGATGTATCACTAGCAAGTATCTTATCCCATTCATTTACTCGAATACTTCTGATGATAGGTCACACTGTGATTAAATGGCCTAATCCATCACTGCTAAATTCTTGTTAAAATCTTCTCTCTTGTACCAAGTTGTCACTTCCTCCTATTGGTCCTAGTTCTACCTCTGAATCGCCATACAATAGGTCTAACAATGCCTCTTCTAAGTGGCAGTTCTCCAGCTATTTGAAGATAAACTGCCATTTCCCTTTAAATCTTTCTCTTTAGGCCTGAGTTTTCCTTTTACTGGTATGGTTTCCAAATTCTTGTCATTTCTGCTCATCCTCCCTTTTTGTTTTGCGGGGGCCAGAACAGAGTGAAAAACTCCAAGTGAGAACTGTCCAGTGCATAGTACAGTGGTGCTTTAGACAGTGTTGGTTTAGCCTAAGCTTTCAGCAGCTTTTTCAGAAACCACTACTGAATTTGTAGTAACTTAAAATTCTTTGGAAATTGTTAATAAATCAGGACTCTGCCATCCTGTAATTACTTGTGCAATTTGAATCTTTTGAAAACGAAAGCAGGTTTGTATTTGTTTCTATTAAATTTTCTCTTAATAGTGTATAGTACCTAGTTCTTGCCTCTCAACATCTGTTTGAACTTTTAGTCAGTTTTTCTTTCTCAATCTTATGTTGTTGAATAACTTGATGAACATGCTTTCTCTCTTCCTCTGCATCACTAACAAAATGGTGAATCAGGACATTGTATCAAGCCTTGTGGTAGGTTACTGTGGACTTCTGTGTCGATTTTGGTTCATGTAGTAGTGTGGGTTGAGTGTTCACATCTGAAGTCCACATTTTTCTGTCTCATTTACAAGATATTGTAAGACTTTGTCAGATGCCTTACAATAATCAAGATATTCTCTTGTCTGTGGCATGTCCCAATTTGCCACTCTTGGTATCCTTATCAGACAATGAAAATTAAGATTAATTTTTCATGCCCTGTTCTTAGTGAAACCTCACTAGCAATCATTTATTTCTTTCTAAGTACTTATAAGCTGCATGTTCAGTAATCTGTTCTTTCATTCTGCTGGGAATTGACTGCAATCCACCTCTTCTTTTCTTAACTACCGAGTTTGCCTGTTTATCTCTGGCCCAGATCTTGTTGCCATAATTTATTTACAGTTATTTTCTTGCTTTATTTTGTTTACTTTGTTTCTTGTATGGTAATCTGAAATCTTACAATTTGAAATATATTCATCATTCAAAATTTTTAAAATAGAAAAGGACATACAGTGAAAAGTTTCCCAGCTCTGCTTCCAGCTACCCACCACTCCTCCCCATAGGCAACTGCAGTTTCTTGTATGTCTTTTCAAGAATATTGTGTGTGTATACAAGCAAATGCAAATGTATGTTTTTCTAGCTTCTGTTTAACCTGAAGGATAGCATGTTATACATGCTTCTTTCTGCACTTTGCTTTCTTAACTTTACATTATATCTTGAGCTTTTCATATCCTATATAATGAAAGGCTAATATGCAAATCGACCAAATGACCAGTCCTATGATGTGCACTGACCACCAGGGGGCAGTTGCTCAACACAGGAGCTCCCCCCCGGTGGTCAGTGCGCTCCCACAGGGGGAACGCTGCTCAGCCAGAAGCTAGGCTCACGGCTGGAGAGTGCAGCAGCGGTGGCGGTAGCCTCTCCTGCCTCCAGGGCAGCACTAAGGATGTCTGACTGCTGGCTTAGACCTGCTGCCCCGCCCCAACCTCCCTCACTCCTGGGGAGCAGGTCTAAGCCGTTAGTCAGACATCCCCCAAGGGCTCCCGGACTGCGAGAAGGTGCAGGCCGGGCTGAGGAACACCCCCGTTGCTCCCGCCCCAGTGCACGAATAACTGCCTAGTATTCCATTGTCCAAAGGTCAGTTCTTCTGATGAGGGACTTTTATGTTGTTTTCAGTCTTTGCTATACAAATCGTGATGCAGTTTGTCATTTTGCACGTGTGCAAGTATATCTATAGGATAAATTCCTAGAAATGGAATTGGAGGGAGGAAGAGTAGGTATATTTGTGATTTTGGTAGATATTGCTAAATCGCCCTCTGCTCAGGTAATGCCAGTTTATGCTCCCATCTACAGTTTATGAGAGTGCCTGTTTCCCTGCACTCTTGCTTGTAGAATGTGTTAGCATATTTTTGGACATCTGAAAATCTGATAGGTAAAAAAATAGTATGTAGATAATTTTAATTTGTATTTTTCATGTTACAAAACAGGTGGTGGGCTTCTTCATCCACTGAGCCATGCAGGTGGCCTTTTCTTGACTGTCCACGTGCTTTCTTTACCTGTTTTTCTATTATTTTACTGGTATTTATTGGTTTACAGAATGCTTTATAGATGAGAAAATTAACTTATAATAGGAATTTACTAGTTGCCATTTGTATTTTGACTTTGCTGAAGGTTATTTTTCCTCATAGAACTTACTTTATGTAGTCAAAATTACCCAACTTTCCTTTTATGATTCTCAGATTTTGTGTCATCATTAGGAAGATCAGTACTAATTTTATATTTCAGTTTTTTACCTCTTAGACTTTGATTCACTAGGAAATTTAACCTAATACCAAAGAAGCAGGGTATGATCCAACTTTTCCCTCATGGCTACTCATTTGTTCCAGACAATTTATAGACTAATCTATTTGCCTCCATTGATTTGGGATGTTACTTCCATCCTATTAATAATTTGCTGTGGACTGGGTGTATTGAGATGTATTTGTAGGCTATTTTGTCCCAGTGATCTTTCTGATTACCCATGTGAGAGTGCAGCATGGGTTTTTTTAAGTTTTGAAGATTTATGTTTTAGAATTTGGTAGGACTCTCTCCTCTTGCTATTTTTTTAATCCACATTTTACTGCCTGCTCAAGCATTTTTGTTTTTCTGCAAGGACTTTTAACTATCTTGTTTTTTTCC